TAGTGATGCTGTGTGTGGTATTCTACAAAGCCCAGAATACAAACAGCGTGAGATAGCAGGTGTCTCTCTCCTGATGGCTGAACAATGATCACTGGTTAAAAATGGTTGTCTTACAATTGTTGTAGGAGTAATTGTCTTACAACACCTGTGAGGTAGAACCTGAGATTCACCTTCTGATGGTGGCGTTCAGACAGAGGCTAAGTTACTTACACCTGCCAGGGTTCTCATAGAAGATTCTTATATTTCGGTGAAGACTTTAGTAGATGACTGGTTCCCAAATCATAACATGCTGGGGAAGCACCTGGGAATCTTCTTGCCCAGGAGTCTGCATTTCTAACAGCCCGCAGGTGAGGCCTGCTGTTGCTAGTCCACTGACTGCACTTTCAGCTGCAAGGCCCCAGATGACGTACATAGAAGTTTAATACAAAAGAGGATGTCGGATCACATAAAAAATAATCATGAGATTTAGGGCTTCGACAGTATATTTTATTCGAGTTCAACTTCTGGGTGAGCTGTTTTTACAAATGTGAATTATGCAAAATGTAGACTTAATTCCAAAAGTAGTTTCATTGAGTTTGTTTCAGCTGAGAATATCTACAAAGGAGGGAGTGACAGTCATTGTGTTTGTTTTTTTCCACCTTAATTTGTGATTCTTGGTTTTGGCCTGAAGCCAGTCTGCAGCTGAAGAAGTGCTCACTTATTTCTTCCTTCTATCCTATTCCTTCCTTCGTTCAGAGAGTAATAAATATGGAAATCAAAGTATATATGGTCAGTCATTGCAGTAGGTACTGAGAATACAGCAGTGCATACAACGGCCAAAAATTCTCTTCCATATTCTTGTGAGGGAGAGATGGACAGAAGAAATGATAAACAAGTAAAATATTTGTGTGTGAGGTGTTGATACATGCTAAAGAAAAAAATAAAGCAGGAAAGGGAATGTAGGGTATCGGTGGAGGGGAGACTGCAGTTTCAGGTAGAGAGGCCGGGGATGGCCTGAAGGCAGCCAGCGAGGAGAGGAGGTGAGACCTGAAGTGGTGCAGACATCTAGGGGAGGTTGTCCAGGCAGAGGGCAGTGTGCCAGCCCTGAGCTGGGCGTGTGCCTGCTGTGCTCAAGGAGGCCAGTGTGGTTGGAGCAGAGCGAGCACGGGACACTGGTGCACAATGAAATCAGAGGGTGACCAAGGGCCAGGACTTCGTGGCCTTGAAGGCCTTCATTGTTAGCTTTTAATCATAATGAGGTGACAAGCAACTGGAGGGCTGGGGGCTGACGAATGAATAAAGATCACCATTTCAAATAACAGAATTTCACGTTTTTCAGTTGGGAAGTGAAGCACAAAGTACCCAGGTAACCGTTGGTATCTATGAAAAAGAGGAAGCCATTGAAATAGACGACAGCTCTCTAAGTGTGGATCTGAAGGTAATTGGAAGGTTTCCATTGTTTCTAACTCACTCATAGTAATACTGAATATAGTATTTATATATCGCAGGAAGACAGTTAGATAATAGAGTAACTTTTTTTTTTGTTAAGGAGATTTCCCTAATGGTTTTTGAAGAAGTATACAAAGGAAAAATGATTTTCTATACTCACAAGACTTCTGACACCAAATATGTGGGTTTTTTGTATATCGGGCAATTCTCCAATTCTCTGAAGGTATTCTAAGATTCAGCATTCTAAGATTCAGCTGAATTCCGACACTATCTGCCTGGACTTAGTATCAGATGCCACAGGTTAAGGGCTCAGTCCCACAAGACTGCTCACACTTCAGACACCAGTTACAAGTCTGGCCTCCCATACTTCTGACCAACTGGCTATAAATCGGGGGATCCCACCATCTCCTCCTCAGGTTTGATAATTTGTTAGAATGATTCAAAGAACTCATGGGAAATATTTTACTACATTTACTGGTTTATCATAAAGGATACAACTCAGGAACAGCCAAATGGAAGAGATGCACAGGACCAGGTATGGGAGAGGGATGCAGAGCTTCTGTGTCCTGTCTCATACCCACTCCAGGGTCACCATCGTCCCAGCATCTCCGTGTGTTCAACAATGCAGAACAGTCTCAAAGCACGTTATTTGGGGATTTTTGTGAAAGCTTCACTATGTGGCCATGACTGAGTAAATCATTGGTCATCGGTCATTATACTCAATCTCCAGCCTCTCTCCCCTCCCCAGACAGTAGGGGCTGAGGTTGGTTCCTCTGGCAACCAGTCCCCATCCTCCAAGAGTCAGCTTATTAACATAAACTCTGGCTTGTTGGAAAGGGAGCAACAAAAACTGCTCCTCTTACCCCTATCACTCAGGAAATTCCAAGAGTTTTAGAAACTATGTTCCAGGAATCAGGACAAAGACCAGAGATATATTTATTATATCACAGTATCACAAAATGGCAGGAAATAGGTTCCTTTTCTAATGTTCGTATCAGTGTGTCTCACTGTGTGTTCTGCAGAACCCTAGTACCATGACATGTCTAGCCAAAGAAAAGTTTCTGCGGTCAGGTTGAGAAGTCCTGCATCAACAAAAGTAGCCAACTAATTCAGCATCCTGAACTGGCCCTGTCAGTGTCCCAGTGTAGTACCCTCAGAAGGTAAAGGGGCTTCTCCAGAGTGCCATAGGCCATAGTGTGGCAATCGATCCACAGCTACAGAGCACAGACCTGGAATCCAGCTACACAATCCCTTAATTTAGCAGGTCTGGCTCATTTCTCAGTCATCCCTGTAGCCATACATTTCTTGTGTGGTGGTTTCATCTAGAGGCTGCTTCTCTTGTGAGGCCAAAATGACTGCAGCCAGTCTTGGCTTTCCAGCCACACAGCCACAAGCTTCAGAGGAGAGAGAGGCTGCCTTCTGTAGTGGTGCTGTTCAGTTCTTCCTACCAAAGCCAAGCAGTAGTCACATGTTCATTCCTGAGCCCATCACTGTGGGGGAGTTGGTGGTAGTCTCTGCCTTAGACCGAGCACGCCTGTGACTACCTAGTACCTGGGATCTATGAGGGATCAATGGACCTGCCTGGTCAAAAGCATGGGCTGTGATGGAAAAGAAGAGATGGAGAGTGGATGCTGAGGAACGATGCCCACCACATCTTTTCATTACATATGTTGTTAATATATTTTATTAGATTTGCCGGACTCTTTGTATTTGTGGCACCTTTTGTCTATGAGAAAGAAGCTTTTGTCTTCTCTGTATTCATCTATTTAGTGCTTTCTCCCTTTGCTTTTGTACTTAGAAAGTCTTTTCCCACCTCCTTACTGAGTAAATATTTGTAAATGTTTTCTTCCTGTTTGTGGTTTTCTCTTGTTTTCATTTACCTCTTTAATTCATCAGAAATTTACTTTAGTAATGGTGTGAGTTAAGAATCTATTTTTTACAAAGTGCCGAAGTTAACTAATTTAGTCACCAGCATTTTCCAAATAATTCTCTTGCCAGGGAATTAAAATGTCACCTTTGCCATGTATTAATTAACTTTCTGGGAGGTAAGGAAAGTTTTCCTGGAAGGGCGGGTGACACACTTTCTCTTCCCTCCTCACCTGGGTGAGTTCTGTCATCACTCGGGTTTCAGGNCCTAACTCACTCATAGTAATACTGAATATAGTATTTAAATATCGCAGGAAGACAGTTAGATGATAGAGTAAGTTTTTTTGTTAAAGGAGATTTCCCTAATAGTTTTTGAAGAAGTATACAAAGGAAAAATGATTTTCTATACTCACAAGACTTCTGACACCAAATATGTGGGTTTTTTATATACCGGGCAATTCTCCAATTCTCCGAATACCAACTCAGCATTCTAAGATTCAGCTGAATTCTGACACTATCTGCCTGGACTTAGTATCAGATGCCACAGGGTAAGGGCTCAGTCCCACAAGACTGCTCACACTTCAGACACCAGTTACAAGTCTGGCCTCCCATACTTCTGACCAACTGGCTATAAATCGGGGGATCCCACCATCTCCTCCTCAGGTTTGATAATTTGTTAGAATGACTCAAAGAACTCATGGGAAATATTTTACTACATTTACTGGTTTATCATAAAGGAGACAACTCAGGAAGAGCCAGGTAAGGAAAGTTTTCCTGGAAGGGCAGGCGACACACTTTCTCTTCCCTCCTCACCTGGGTTAGTACTGTCATCACTCCAGTGCAACATTAAACATTCTTTAGAGATGGAGAATAACATAGTACCTAAGAGTAAATTCTATAGCCATCTTGCCTGGGTTTGAATCTTGACTGCCACTTAGTAGTGGTATGACCCTGGGCAAGTTACCTGACCTCTTTGTACCTTAGTTTCCCCATCCGTAAAATGGGGATAATAAAAGAACCTACCATTTAGTGTTATTATAAGGAAAAAATCAAATAATTCAGATAAAATACTGAACACAATTCGTGGGTTATGAAACACGCTATAAATGCATGTTGGTATTATGTCTTTATTTGTATAACTATATCTCTGAGATGAGTTTCTATAAGTGGAATTTCTGGGTCTAAGAATACGTGGACTTAAAATGTTAATAGACAGTTGACCGATGAGCTCAGGTGGTTAGAGAGTCGCGTTATAACACCAAGGTCAAGGGTTCTATACTTGTACAAGTCAGCCACCAAAAATATAAATAAATGAAATGCTGATAGATATTGCTAAATTCTCATCAAAATAAAACTTGTAGTAGGGCGTGCATGGTCCTAGATTGCAGCACTGGGTATTAGTAAATATTTTAATCTTTGTCAATTTGATTGATAGAAAACTGTAATCTAGTTTGATATTCATTTCTTAAATTATAACAGGTTGAACATCTCGTGTATTTGTTGGTTCTTTGTAATTTTTTCTTCTGTGAAGAACTGTGTGTTTATTTTCTGTGCACATTTTTCTATTAGGTTTTTTTTTTATTACCTATTTTAAGTTATTTGTATAATAAAAGATCTCCCCTTAGTCATATACTCTTCTGTTGTAAATATTTTCTGTTTGATTTTTGAATTGGCTTTAGTGGGGTATAATTAGCATACAATAACAGTCACCCATTTTAAATGTGTAATTGAATATATTTTGACAAATGTATGTCATTATGTAACCACCACCACAACCATGACATAGAACATTTCCATTACCAACACCTCCCCCCCACATTCCTTTGTGCTCCTTTACAGTCAGTCCCCTCCCCTAGGCCCCCTAGGCCCTGGAAACGAAATCTTTCTGTCATAGTTTTTCCTCTTCTAAGCTTTCATTTAAATGGAATCATACAGTAAGAAGTTTTTGTCCATGCTTTCTTTATTTAGCCTAGTGTTTTTGATACTCTTGTGTGTGTATCCACAGTTTATTCCTATTTATCTGTGTGACGCTTGACTTTATTCTTTTTTGTCATACATGTGTTTTTAATCTTTATGTAGCCAAATTTATTAATCAGTTATAATTTCTGAATTTTGTAATATATCATGCTTAGAAAGATGCAATTCTTTCTTAAGCTCACAAAAGAAAATCAATAATGCTTCTAGTGCTTTTGCGTATTTAACATTTACATTTTTTTATTCCTTTGGAATTTATTTTGATGACTGTGGGTCCAACCTTATTTTTACCAATTGACTTGTCATTTTATAGAAGTATCATTTGGTGAATAGTGTAATTCACCCCACCACATACTTGAAATGTCAACTTTAGATAGTAAATTGATAGAATGCTTCCAGATAATTTATTTTTCCTATTTAGGTTTCATCTTAAGGACTTCCTATTGGGGTGATTATTTTTGGGGACACAATATTGTCTCTGTCCAAGGCCTCTTAAGAATCACTTGATGTTTTTTCCTGATCACCACCCGAAGGCAATTTCATGCATTGTATAGGGTCTATATCTCTTTCAATCTTCCCTTAAATTGGGCGGCAATCCATACAGCACATTTCAAGCAATGCAGAAATGGTTACGCAGGCAAAAACTAGATTGGCAATATATCTGTTTGAAATGGCAGAGTAAGCGAACACATATCTCCTCCCACATATATATCCCATTCCCTCTGTTTGTTCTTTTGGATAGTATGCTAGGGAAATGGGGGACACTTCCCACGGGGCCTTTTCTATTATTTCCCTAGGAGAAGTAAGGCATATGTTGTTTATGGAAAAGGTGGTTCTTGGAGAATTTTGATTTTAAATAATTGTGGAACCATGGCAGATTCATCAATCTATACTACATCACTTAGTGACAAGCAATTTGTTCAAACCACAACAGCCTGCATAAACCTGTCCTCTTCTCCTGCCATTCTTCAAAGAGTAACTAACATGGGCCATGCTATACGTGGGTGAGCATGGCCATGAGGTTGAGATGGACGAAGGAGTGCTAATTTAAACTGAATCCAGGACTCTAAGGCATGCCAGCTGTCCGGGAGGCAGTGTTGTAGGTATTGCTAACCTGTGCCCACCCACTGCTGTAGGTCCCACTTGGGTGGCCCCAACAATTGTAAACATACTCTCTTCCCACAGGGACCATGTGAGACCCTGTTTCTCTTTCCCAAAGTTGTTTTGGCTCATTTAGCTGTATGCATTTCCATATTAATTACAGAATCAAATTGCCCATTTCTACAAAATATTTCTTTTGTGATTTTTGATTGGAATTACACTGAATCTATAGAACCATTTGGGGAAAATTAACATTTTAACAATATTGGATCTTCTGACATAGGAACACAGTGTGTCTATTTTTGTCTTTCATTTTCCCAGCAGTTTTGTAATTTTCAGTGTATAAATATTTTATGTGCTTTTT